TCCAGAGACAGTTGTAAGCACTGTGTAACTGCCTCGAGGGTACTGGACCAATTTAACACAACGTGGTGCGATCATTCCCCTTGCGCCGAGTGAGGGTTTTCCATCCCGCACAACATGATCCACTCGACCACCATTATGGTTACCGCCAAAAAAAAACACAGGTGAACAAAAAAAAACAGTAACCTGGTTGCCGAGTTCACGAAGTGAATTGGCTTGTTTCACAACGTCGTTGCCAAGCGACGAAAACCCAATCCCGATGGCAAACACCGAGGGGGGGGGCTTGTTTTACAACGTTGCCAAGCGACGAAAACCCAACCCCGACGGCAAACACCAGGGGGGCGGAAGGCTGGCACATTGGGGGTGCTCGATATAAACAACGTTTCAGGATATACAACCTTTATGCGAACCATGTGCCAATGGAAAAAACAAAGGGAAAATACATGAGTCCTCACTTGTCTGGCACGATCCGCCGCGCCCATCAATACGGCGATGTGAAGGGCAGTAAACCCCTGTTCCTTCTCTCTTGTTCACCAACTCCCGAGGATTCATCGCGCTTTCTAGCGGGGAGGGCAACCTCTCGGTGTTGCCTTCCACACATGCTTGAGCAAGCCTCTGCATGTTGCAGCTGTGCGGTGGTTACAGCAGTCGGCCTGCGTGCGTGATGGAAAGAGCAAGCGATGAGGGGGTACTCGTGTCTTGCGTGAAGTATGTGGTATCTGTTGGACCACGTGTCCTCGAAAGGACGGAGCATTGTTCCCACAGGACCCGATCACAGATGGCAAATCGTTCCTTCCTGCCATGTACTTCAGGGGGGTCGCACGCTGCACACGCGCGCAAGTGCAGTAGTAAAACACCTGTGTTGCCTAAGGGGGCAGGTGTGTGAGGGCTCATGAGGACACCCAACCAGATTGAAGGTACAACAATGAAACTCTCACGCATGAGCAAAATGTGCGGAGAAGCAATCGAATTGGCGAGGGAACAAAAACTATGCTACAGCAGTGGTCCCGATATAGTGGCGCCCTGAATAGTGAAATGCCCTCAATAGTGGCATCAAAATCTCTTGCCACAATCTCAACCCGAAATAGTGGCGTTGAACCACTATTGAGGACGGGGCCCTCAATAGTGGTATTTTGGGCATCTCATCCCAATAGTGGCAATTCAGAAGGTCGGAGCGCCCCCGTATATCACCCACGCACGACTCGACTTCGTTTTGGAGTGCTTTCACGGACTCGAGTGCAAGATAGCAGCCTTGGTAGACGCATGCAGTTTTCTTCCGTTGCTACCGTTTCTGTCTTTCATCCGGAGAATAGCTTAGCCTTCCCCATGCCGCCCCCTCACGGGGTCCCAGTTAATGGCATCTAGAAGTGTTTCGTGTTTTCAAGCGAACGGAGGCAGACGTCTTTTCATTGGTCAGCCGGTTAGCGCGATCGATGCTCATACTAAAAACACACACGACACAGCAGCGGGCGCCACGCCACACGTATCATGCTGGCATGCGCGAGCCAGAGCTAGACAACATCGAAGATTCTGACGGTGGGGGGGGTGGAGGGATGAAGGCGCCGCCGTCGTTCGCTGAACTGTCTGCGCTTTTTGGTCCTCTAGAAGAATACGCGGAGTCGTGTAGCATTGGCGAGGCCGGGCATTTCCTCCGTAAGGCAAAGACGGCAGTCTTCGCAGCACATGCCGCTAGCCGGCACTGCAGTTAGTTGGACATCAGAGCGTTTTCCCAGTCATTTGTCTAGTGGCATTGATCGGTTGACGCCTGTTGGGGCAAACCATTGGGACGGTTGGGATTGATGCGCCGGAGTGGGGAGTGTTCAGCGTTTCAACTTGGTTTCTCCAGTTGGTTTCGCGTACATTGACGTGTTCAACATGTGTGTTTTGCTTGTGAAACCTCATCATTATGGATCGCCGGACTAAAACAAATTCGTATTGTGTTTCTGTAGTCCGCCTGCACACAAAGGTAGGTTGCGACCGCCGAAGGCCACGTTGTCGCAAGCACGATCAAGTGTCAATGCACACGTGATGGGCAGACACTTGCGTTTTCACGCGGATACTGGTGCACACAACAAAGGAGGGACCCTAGGTACATGTACAACGCATGCGAGTGAAGATCCAACGAACAACAGTCCGTAGCATCAGAGCAATCCTCTTCAATAGTGGCATTGTTTTCTTGTTCGTCAGTGGTCTCTCCACTGTGCGCCTTTTCTGTCTCATTTTTTGTTAATTTCGGCCTGGTCCCTTTTTGTCCTCGCTCTTTATCGTTTTCTTTTCTCTTTCCTTCCTGTTTCCTATTTTTTTGCTCTTGTTCTCTTGTTTCTCTTTATCTCTCTTGTTTCTCTCTTTTTCTGTGTCAGATGGCCTTGTCTCTGCTTGCGTTGTGAAGTACAGTACCAAGATTGAACCAAGGGGGTGTACCTCTTTCTCTCTGGCCCATGACGCTGACTCCTAGTCTCAGTTGTTACTTCGCATGGCGCGCAGAGGGAGCGGAGGACTCCAGAGTATCTGTCGTGACTTCAATTGGCTTGCGGACCCCTCGGGGCCAGATATATGAGTGCACCTACCCAGGGTAATGATGCACAAGAAGACGCCCACCAAACTGTCGTGTTGAGCCTGTTACCCACGGGGGAGAAATCGCTGTGTGCTGCTCGGGAAACCGTGGAAATACAGGTAGCTTGCTTTTGACGCAATTAATTCATTGCTATTTCATGTTACACTATTTTCTTAGATAGAGATGGATTCGTTGGGTCATACTAAGAAAAAAAAAAGTATATAAATAGTCTAGACTATGCTTTACATAATGCGTATCTTTCAGTATGCGGAATTTGTAGGAAGAGAGCTTGGTGCACAGAGAGAGGGTATCGCTGTGCGCTGCTTGGGGAATCGTCGAAAGACAGGCACATCTAGTGCTCCGCTGATGACATGAATTCATTACCAATCCTAGACCCTTATCTAGGACAGAGATGGGTATATTGTGGTGTGTATGCATAGCAAAACACACACAAAACAACGATCGTAGGCATCCCTTTGACATGTACGCTTTTGTATGCAAACCACACCCTCGATAATATCCTATTGGACAGGCTATTGATTGGTCCATACAGTTAGACCTCGAGATTAGAAGTTTTTCAGGGCGAAAAAATGTCCTTGGTCGCTAGCCGAATAGACTGTTAAAAATATTTTCCAACCAATCAAAACAGCAGGATGGGCGGACACGTCACAATATTTCGGACAAGCCCGAGACTTCTTTGTCACCACATGCACGAGCTGGGTACAGCTCACTCTCTGTGCATTTCCGCCTGCCAGAAGTCCGGTCACGGCAACGCCAAATGCTACACATCCGCTCCTCTTCGTTTTCCAGCATCCGCGCTTGCTTCTTCGCTTCTGCCTTTGCCGATTTTTGCTTTGCGGCAAGCTTGCGCTTCACCGCAGCCGCCTGCTTCAGCTTGTTGACGTGAGCGACGCATATTCGCTTCAAGGCAGGGTAGTCCTTGTCCTCGAGAGCCTTCAAGCGGCGCGCATCAACTCCCGCTTGGGAAAACATGATACCAGTTCGCGCCATAACGTTTTCGCCCTGTTCCTTGAAACTTTTTCTTCTCCCCTTTGTCCATTTCTTTTTGCGTCCAGCGGTGCCCATGAGAGGCTTTGCGGCGTTTGCAATCTCTCTACCGCAACAGCTAGGATCGGGATGAGGTTTGTTGCGGTGTGTACGCAAAACCCAAAGGAAGTTCAGTTTTTCGAACTCAACGGGAAAAAAACGAGAAACCTGGCCAAAGGCCTTTAAAATGCAGTATAAAACGTATGTTCTCAGTCTTCCGGGGTGCGGACAAAAAATCCAAACCGGGTGATTCATAGAGTATGATCTGTAGACAGGTGTTGAAAAGGTTGAAGCGCCAACTCTCCACCTGGGGCCAGCGCTTTTGATTGTTAAATCGAGGTCTCAATCCAAGATAATAATATTTCGACCACCGAGTCAGGAAAAAAAAAATGTTTTTGGGCTGGTTGTTATGCCGATATTTGCTGGTCGTTAGCGGTATAATCTCAAGGTCTAACAGTTAGGTACTACAGGAGCCTATCGACACCTGTTCGACATTTCAACAGGCATTTGGAGTCCCTGCCGATATTTATTGGGTCGATTTAACAGGTGCTGGAGTGTCTCGGCTTCACATGTTGGTTATTTCAATAGGTACCACGATAATATATCGCAAGTGAGTGAACTTCGCGATAGGTTTCAAGGAGTGCATCATCACCTGCTGGATATTTCAATAGACCGATGAAAAAAATACGAATACCTTTTACAACTGTCAACATGGAGGGGGAGGACTTATCGATACCCGTTGCAACGGTCAACATGCAGGCGAGGACTTACCCGTACTTGTTGCAACGGTCAACATGCAGGGGGTAACTTATCGATACCTGTTGCAGCAGTCAGCATGAAGCGGAGAACCCTTCGGTACCTGTTGCAACGGTTAACTTGAGGGGCTGAACCCGTCGGTACCTACTGTAGGGGACATGCATTGCGTTCACCGATCAAGTCTGGCGTGTGTGTAGCACCCTGCAACATCACAAGTGGAACTTCATGACCCTTGTACCGATCAGTAGTAGTACGACGTTTGAATCAATCGATACACAACAGCAGTTGCTCCAAATTTTTGTGCTCAGCAGCTTTTTGGACGGGCCTCCGGATCACTCAGCGCGACCTTAAGAGCCAGACATACAGCAGTAGGCGAAGCACACCAGACACTCCCCAGGATCATCTCAAGGTCGCACTCACATCTTGCTGCAACATGAAAGTAGAACTTTCAACACACAAACTGCTGTTCCCACCACCTCTGGCAGATTCCATGGACGGTCCCTCGTATACAGAGTTGGTATTGATCGATGATGTGCTAAACATGCTGTTCCTCCAACACATATTGATCGATTACGCAACTTTTTGTATCCCCCGCTAGGTACCGATCGCTTGTCGTCACGATGCTGATGTATTCGACACGTGTCAGAGCGAAAGGCGAGACAACGCCTTTCGGAAGTAATTCTCATCGATATAGCGAAAAAAAAACATGCTGTCGGAAACGTAAGTCTCAAAACGATTTGTGCACTCTTCCTATCGATTCGATGGTATTCGAATTGCTTCCTTCACAATCTATCGACATGTTGCGACCCAACGTACAAGGCAGCCGCAACAGGTATCGTGTCTCGATTCTTGGGCCATACTGCCGGGCTCATAACCTATCCAATAGGGTATTATCGAGGGCTAAAGGAGGTCTTCGATGGCTGGCACACAACAAACGGCCCTTTTCCACTCTGTCTGTCTGGTTCTCAGCTCTGAAACCAATTGCTGCATGTAGTCTAAAATAACTTCGACTACAGAGGAGTAGACAATACTCGAAAAGAGAGGCCCCGCACTACCTTCCGATGCCCATCCCAGTAAATCTCAGCACGTGGCTGCTGTGGCAAGAGTCGAATCCAGAGCGGGGTTCTTGCTGTCCGACGATCAACTCAGTTCGTATCTCGCAACGTTCAGAACTCGGGATCTACCGATGCCTGTCTTCCGAGAACATGTTGACAGCTGGAAATAAATGTCGATACGTCAATACAGTCGACCCCGCTTTAAAGACACACAAAGTTTTCCCCCTAAAGAAGTGTCTTTAACGCGGGGAAGTGTCTTCAAAATCCCGGGGCCACTAACGCACCATCCCCGGGGCCAATGAAGGCGAAACATATGCCAAAATTCGCAGCAGGAAGGCGACCACAAGAGGTGTTGCTTGAAACCTACGACACAAGGTGATTTGAAGGTCGCAACCACTGCTGCTGTTGTTGTGCTGCAATACATACTTGCATACCATCGTTTGAATTTCCCCGTACTGTACCACCAAAACGCTGAAGCGATGGTGTTCTACGACCTACGCATCGTACATGTACACGACGGTAGTGCGCTGGTGTTGATATGGGCTTAATTATTTGCTTTATTTTATTTTTTAGGCGTTGTCCTCCCCGTGAATATCTTGCCCAAGATCTCGCTACCGCACCTGAGAAATATCGAAGGTTGTAAAACGACACTAGGAAAATGTAGGTTACGCAGAAACACAGAGACCAAAAATGTCGGGAAAGCACAGCGAGAAAGAGGACACCGCGTCTCCCACAAGGTCAAAATGAGGCACAACACAACACAAACGCCAAATTCAACCTCACGAGACTTCACC